ACAGTTAGGGGAAGAATTTGCCTCTTGAAAATCGCCTCTAAGCCTTCTTGTTTTTGAAAATATGAAATAATGGCCAATTTCCGTTTCTGCTTCTGTTTTTTTTAAAACACTGGACAGGTCTTCATCGCGTCAATGCATTGCGGCCAGAAGGGCCTTCGCGTTCGCAAAGAGCTGCTCGCATTCGCGATGGTCTGTCCCTCCTGACCATCGCGTTCGCGGGCCTGGGACCGCGTTCGCGAAGAGCAACTCAAAGATTCCCCAGCCCACCTCAATTTTACTCTACGCGTTCGCGTGATGCCGGTCGAGTTCGCAAAGAGCAGCCCCCTAGTGCTCCGCGTTCGCGACCATGGCTTCGCGTTCGCGATGAACAATCCTCCCCAGCCCAGGTTACACTTTGCGTTCGCGAGAGTATCTTCGCGAATGCGAAGAAGAAAAACCAGAAACACTGACTGCAGCAAATCATACCAGATTTCTAAGTATAAAACATCTCGTAGCCTATCCGTAACTCACCCGAGCCCTCGAGGCTCCAAACAAAACATGCACACAAGTCTAAAAATATAATACGGACTTGTTCGCGCGATCAAAACGCCAGAATAACAATTAAATCTACGAATATGAAATTTTCAAGAAAGTTCAAAAGTTCTAATTTCTCAACACAAGGTCCAAATCACGTCAAATCAGTCCCGTTTCTTACCAAATTTTACAGATAAGGTATAAACATCATAACGGACCTGTACCAAGCTCTGGAACCACAATACGGACCCGGTATCAACAAAATCAATTATTAAACAAATTCTTAAAACCTTTATATTTCCAATTTAACATTTTTCATCAAAAATTCATTTCTCGGGCTAGGGACCTCGGAATTCGATTCCGGCCATACGTCTAGGTCCCATATTTTACTATGGACCCTCCGGGACCGTCAAAATACGGGTCAGGGTCCGTTTACTCAATATGTTGACCGAAGTCAACTAAAATCAACTTTTAAAGGCAAAACTTAATATTTCCTCAAATTTTCACATAAAGGCTTTCCGAAAATACGCCCGGTATGCGCACGCAAATCAAGGAGAAAGAAAATGAGGTTCTGAAGGCCTCGGAACCCCGAATTGGGTTCTAAAACACGAGATGACCTATCGGGTCATCACACTTGCCTAGCAAGCAGTGTTTGGCACCGTCACGGCTTTGGTTGGACTTGGGATCGTAATATTATATATACATATACTTTTAGCCGAATATCCCTTAATAATTTGGTCAAATTATTTCTTACAAATTTATTGATTCAATTAAAACCTTTTGGTTCTAATTCAAAGAGATTGTTTGAGTCATCTATTGTCTCAACCATGCTCAATGCTTACTACTTGTTTAACAAAATTTTAATCAAATGAGGAGACTATTCTTAAACATTTACAATTATATAGAAAATTGGAAGGAGTTCATACTTTATACTTATTGGAGGATTAGGGGTCAATGAAATTGGCTATCGTAATGGTTAGGCTTTTCAATACATAGTTAACGATTAATAAAACCGAGAGGATTGCTTTTCGTTTAGATGATCGTAATGGTTCGATGAAATGTATAGAGTTATTTATAACTTATTGAATTGAATGAACACCATAAGTTATAAGTCATAGGTGAAGTCTCCATCCACTTTAGTCATAATTTTTCACAAACTTATCTAATTTCTCAAATAGCGATTCAGTTATATTAATTAGCCAATTTCATCTCGAAAATTCCATAAATTCTTGGAAGTTTCAAAAAGAGATCATCTCGAAAATTTCATAAACTCATGGAATATTCACAAAAAGATCAAAGACATCAAATATTATTTTTTTAAAAGTTGCCGAAGTGATTAAGATAAGTTTTTCCTTTTCATGAAGATCAAATACATTCCAAGAAAGTTCGCATCATTCTAGTTCGAGAAACGCGCTACTTGCTCGAATATACGGAACAATCCAGAGAGAAAAACCAAGGGATAAATAAAATTGTGCTCGCTGTTGATTAATAAAGTTATTTTTCTTTATAGAAAGATATTCGAAATTATAATTTTATCCGTATTTAGATTATCAACATGGTGAAAATGTCTAGACGAGCTCCACATAATATTCTCAACTATGTCAATGCTAGATCAAAGAAAGTTACATAATATTTTATGCGAGTCATGACATCATCAGTTCTTTGAAAAAGTAGAGAAAAAGTACTACAATTCAGATTTAATTATAATTAATTATTTAAATATTTATAAATATTTGATCAAAGAAAAAATTATTTCACTCTCAAATAATAGTGTCACATAAATGAGACAAATAAAAATAATAATAAAATAAACATTCAAAGAACAAAAATGTCGAGTCATTTTACCTTATATATTTGGCATAGGGGGTGTACATGAACCGGGTTGGTTCGGTTTTTATCAAAACCAAACCAAACCGACTATATCGGTTTGGATTGGTTCGGTTTTGTCGAGTTTTCGGGTCTTTTTGTTACATGAATATTATATCAATCTTACTTTGTTAAAAGTATAGATAAAGCTTCGATAAGTGAATATATGTTTAGTAAATATGGAATCAATTGACAAACATATGATCTATTAAAATATTCTAATGGGAGAATTTTTTTAGTAACACATGATAGTTATTTTCTTAGTCATCTAACAATATTTTTTCGTTAATTTACGCTTTCAAGGTTAATACAAGAGAGGATTCCAAGTATTTCTACATTTCTAAAGAAATTCACTATAAAGTCTTAAAAAATATAAATAAAATTTACATATTTATATGTCGATTTGGTTCGGATTTTTTTACTCAATACCAAACCAACCCAAACCAAACCTAGTCGAGTTTTTTAATCGGTTTGGTTTGATTTTTCGGTTTGGTGCGGTTTTTCGGTTCGGTTTGAACTTTGGCATATATAGTCGATCGTTGGAAAAAGTTAAGTAGATTTTGTATGTTTCACAATCTTTAATGTTGCCAAAAATTAGTTTATTTAAGAGCGTCATATTAATATGTGTGTTATAAGTTTAAAAAGAAGTACATTATGATGTTCGTTAGATACTTATACATGATCAATTATAAATTTTAATTAACATAGCATTCAATAGAATGTGAGGTGTAAACATTACTTATATTGACCATGTATATTTTTAAATGGATGAAAATTATTTACACTCCTTGATTGTACTTTAAAATTTAAACTCTTTTTAAAACAAAATTGAGAGATGTGAATGATTTTAAATTCATTGCTAATATTTCTAATCTTTGTAAAGTATGCCGTAGTTAATTAATGTTGTAACCCGATACTAGGGAAAAGGAAAGAGACTCGTATGTTTACCATTTTGCGGCCTCATGCCAAACAAGTAGGTACAATTCAAAAAGAAAATATCCGTTGAAACAAGACCTAACATATGAAATTACCGTTATATCCATGATTAGATTTGACCAGCATAACAGAGCTCTACGCGAATTACCAAGAGCGGCTCTAGAGTAAGCCCCCAAATAATTAAGGCCCCAAAAATAAAAAGTACTATACTATATTATTATATAATATATTCTTCATAATTTATATTTATATAATTATTAATAAAAGATTTCAAATTTTAATAATTTTTAACATTTGGTAGACATAAGATTGAGTGAGTTAATTGGTTAAATTTTTCTCACTAAATTAAATAATATATTTACCTTCTCATCAATTTTATTTTTCTTTCTTTATGTATAGTCTTTTTTCATGGCTCTTANATTCTCTAAATTAACTATTCCTTTTTGTCACATTTGATTGATCCACACACCAGAAAGCAAGTTCTTTTGTGTCTCATCTTTTTTAACTAAGAAATCCCCGAGGCAAATATGGCAAGGTTCAAAACATGATGACTGATGGCTCACCCTTCACCATTTTCACTTAAGGAGAGAATTCAATACCATATGACGCGCGCCTAACTCATACATCATGAGTTGTGCTCTCACCACTATATCAAAGTCATGTAGGTTTTTTTTTTGTATCTCAATATTATATGGATTTTATAAAAGACGTTTCAGGGTCTTTTTAATATATTTTGTTTAGGCACCAGCTTTGTTGAGCCGCCCTCATGGACAATCAACAATTATTTACAGACTACTGCCCCACTATAAACGTACTGTTCAACCAGCTTCATTACTCGCTGCCTTTAATGCTCTTGTCATTGTTGCTTTATTTTAAGTGAGACTCTATAAATTTTATTGGGAATGCCAAGGGCGGATAAGTGGCTCTAGTAGGAGACTAGTAAAGCCTTGATTTAGGTCCCCCAAAATTTTTAATAACGAATTTTATAATTTTATTTCAAATTAGACAATTTTAATATTTGTAGAAAAAATAAAAAAGTACAAAAAAAATTGTAAAAAAGAAAGAAAGGTGTCTACTATTAAACAGTAAAAATGATTTTAAAACTTTGAATTTAACTACTTACATCTTCATGTTTGTAAATATATTTTTTACAACAATATCAAAGGTAACATATTGCAAATACATGTCCAATATCTTATTTATTTAAATTTTTCTTCTTTATGATGTAAGAATATATGCTATAAACAACAAGTATGAAAAAAGTGGCAAGATTAACTTTTTTCAAATATATGTATGAAAAAAACGCAAGATTAAGAGTCCGTTCGGATGGACTTATTTTAAGTAACTTTTAAGCCAAAATAGCTTTTAAGCCATAAGTTAGGATTTCTAGCTTTCGGCTTTTGGCTTATTTTTATCATTTTAGCTTAAAAATAAGTGCTTAAAAGCACTTCGTTTACTTTATCCAAATACTACAAAATGGCTTAAAAGCGATTTTGGCTTAAAAGCATTTAAAATAAGTCAATCCAAACGGGCTCTAACTTTTTTCAAATATATGTGTGTATACGTACTAATAAAAAAAGTATAAGGCCTCTTATTAAAATTTGGCTTTAGGCCACCTATTTTACGGAATCGCCCTAGCGAATTACACCTAAATAGTCTCACCATGTCGAGAAAAGCTAACCATGAAACCAAAATAATCGTATACCATACCCTAAAAAATGACATTACCAAAAAAAAACTAACAATATCTTCTTACGTTACTCACATCACATTGCGACCAAAACGCCACAACACTAATTAACACACCAACATATTAAAAATTCGTAGTATTTTCACATTAGAGATTTCAGTGACCTTGCTTTAATTGGCTTCCTAGCTTTCTTCTTCCCATTTTTTTCTTCAACATCCTCGCCTTCAACATAGTCAAATTCATCATAATTAATTTGGGAAGACGAAAATTGTGTTAGGTGACTATCATTAGAGACTTGTGCCATACACTGAACATCTTTGGCTGTTGCATCACTATCTGCCTTTCTATAACCTCTTTTTCTACCCCACGACGGACCGAAACCCGAATAATAGTAGAATTCGTAAGGACTGGAAGAAAAAGATGATTTCTTAGCACGAGGGCGGTGGCGGGAACTTCCGATCGCCGCCGCTGCAGCCTCCTGTTGCTTATCTGGTATTTTGGCATAGTTGTTGTAATGTTTCACCTCGTCAAAATGGTGTCGGCATAAATTATCGCCGCTATCTTTATCCAACCCTAGCTCCTCCATATATACATCCTCGTCTTGGTTATTCTCATACTTAACGGAATCACCACCCACTTCACTAATACTAGCGTCGTAGTAATAATCCCATTTAATCTCTTTCATTTCCCTTTCGTCATCCAATTTCATTGAGGTGACGCTACGGAAAATCAAATTTGCTAACTCAGAAATAAAATTACTGAGAGTCGAGGCAAAAAATTTCAGAAAATCAAGAATGTATAGCCAAATGGAATGTCAAAAAATTTACAAAAAGATAATGGACTAGTAAAATCCTAATTATCGTTTTTTGACACATATATAGAAAATTAATAAAATGCGAAAAGAGAAGGTAAATAAGGAATCGAATTGATTTAATGGTAGCAAAGTTACCTCGTGACAGTTCCAATAGAATCATAAAAGGTCCCAGTATTAGCATATCCATCATGCTGAAAACAATAAGAAAATGTATTGATGCAGAAAAGTGTCTTAAAAGAATAGGAGCTGTGCAGTGGACAATAGGTAAAAACAGAGGAACACCATGAAAGAAATTGAATAAGGAAGTCTAAACACACGATAAAAATTGTGTGATTGAGATTCTTAGCGAACCCTAATGAGAGTTACCAAGAAAACCCTAAACCACAAAGATATAAAGGAAAGAAATAAAGGAAAAATGAAGGGACATTTCATTTTCATAAAAAGAAATAGAAACGAAATGGGTATTTATAGATCTGAGAAAGAAAGAAGAATAAGGAGAAAAAAGGATAGATTAATTAATGGACTGACCTGATACGAAAAAGATGGCAGTGGTGTTTGTGGGTCTTGGTTTTCTTCAATGGGAAAGGAGATGACATCCCATGGCGACTGGTTCAGTTGGCAAACAAGTGTTGCTGGTTGTATAGATGAAGCTGCATAAATGAGAGGGGAAATTTTGGCATGCTTCCTTATTCTCATGGCTGAAAGAAAGCCTCTCTAAAGCACAAGTATTGTTTGTCGGGTTTGAGATGGAAGTAGATCCAAAAGGACTCTCTTTATCTTTCCACTCTATATATATATAGACACGCAAATCATTTTTTTATATACCTGTAATATGTATATACAAACGGGCAGTTTGAATTGGATTTAAAAATTTCGGTTTAGATTTTTGGTTTTTATTTTGATGAAATGACAATCCAAATAAACTCGGATTGGATCGGATTTTTTAAGTTGAATTTCGGATTAATGTGTTTGAATATTTTGAATTATCGATTTTGAGCTTATAAGTTGAGATATTTTTTTTTTAATAAAAATAAATATCCTAATGAAGTACCCATATTAAATTGCCTGACACTCTCATAAAAATCATCCAAATAAAGTATTCAAGTAATGTAATTATTAGCAAGGAAATACAATAGAGACATTAATACGGCTAATAAAAAGTAGCAATAGGAAAATTTCATATCCAAATAGAAAGTATTTTGACAGTAACTTAGTACTCACTTAATAATGAATATATGAGATAATATCTCATATGTAGGGTATTGAAATTATTATTATTAGATATGAATAATGGACTAAATATAAAGTATAAAAATTCGAATTTTCGGATATCCAAATTCGAAGTAACAAATCCAATATCCAATTCAAAATTTAAAAATTTAAATCCAAAAAAATCCAATCCATAATCCGAAAATTCAAAAAATTCGAATTTCGGGTTTGCCCGAACTATACCCACCCCTATATACAAAAGCATATACTCCCTTTGTTTCAAATTGTTTAAACTTTTCCAGAGGATGATATTGGTATTGACTAATTTTCGATGTGAATTCGGATATATGTTCTTTAAGTATTTTGAAATAAAAATTACATATTTAGAAATTACATAATATGAACTATAAGTTAAAATAGTTAACAATTTAAAATATTTAAAAATTATTTACAAAAGAATAGTCAAAGAAAATTTTAGTTGACTCCTTACATAATAATAGGTTCATTCTTTTTTTAAATGGAAAAAGTATCGTTTGTACTAAATTGATTCTCTGCCAATTTAGATTAGTCCAAACTTAAAAACGAATATAGATTATTGAATAAAAAGGTCTTTTCTTAAAAAAAAGTGGGGAAGGGGGTTAGGGCATGAAGTGTTAATGACTTGGTGAGACTCTTGGATTTGCAGATCTCAGAACACAAAACTCGATAATAAAAGAAGCCATAAAATCAGAAGGATGAGATGGGATGGAGGTAGGATAGGACATGGGTGGTTGGTTAGGTCAGAATTAACTTTTCTGCTGCTTTCTTGGCCCTTCAATTTTTATTTTACTATTCATCTTCTTCACAAATTACAAGACTACACCAACATATTTTTATAAAAAAATGTAATTTGTAGAGTTTACTGTGTTACCATAAAAGCTGCCATTATAAGATACGTCAGGCAACTTTGTCTTGAAGCAAATATTTTGGGATGTAGTCTTGTTTATCATTTTTGAATTTTGTCGCTTCAATGATATTCTGTTCGACTTATTTGTTGGTTAGCACGAGCCACGACTCGACATGAAATATTAAAAAAAATATTATTTAAGTTTGTGCTACTAAATAAGAAGTACATCATAATAAATATAAAAATTATAAAATTTATGAACTTAAATATATCATAACATTTAGGCGATTATAAAAATATTTTACTAAGGACAAAATAAGAAGTTTAAACCTAATTTTTTTTCCAAGTAAAAAATTGGTTTTAAAATTATAAATATGTGATATTTTACATCATTTATCTATCTATCTATTTATACTATACTAAAAGTGAATACCCTAAAATTAAAAATTAAAGTACTTAAATGCCCTTTAGTTAACCTATTTAAATTTTTTTAAACAAAAAAAATAAATACCGTACGAATTTTTTTAATAAATAAAAAAAAAACTAATAAGTAAACCTAAACACTCATTCATTAACGGTCACAGCCATTTAGATGCATAACCCCTTAGCATATGTACCTATTAGCATGTGCCAATAAGATTCAATCATGGATTTATTATTGTAGGTACTATTTTATTATACTTTTGCATCTGGTATGTGTCACGATCCAAAATCTACGTAGTCGTGGTGGCACCTAACCTAGTGCTAGGTAAGCCTAACATAGAGATAGATAACCCAAGTGAAAGATCAAAACAACAAGAATGATAATAACTAAATTCTAATTTCCCAAGTACTGGCAGTACAAGTCATGAGCCACTATTATTTAGATTTACAAACTAGTATGAAGAATAAATACAATATTCGTTTGAAGTTTACATAAACAGATTTTAAAATTCAGCTACTATGAACAAAAGGTAGCTTAAATCTGGAATGCGGGTACGTCATCAATGGTAGGCTTCGTCTTCCACAGCTACGCAACTCCGAGATCTGCACACAAGGTGCAGGAGTCTCTAACTATCTCCATCAGGCAGGATTTTAGTGGCCCAAGCACTTATTTGTTGAGGACAAGCTGATCAAATTGCCAACTTTCGACAAATAGTGTCGAACCCTTCTAGGAACCTCCGAAATCGAATCCGAACATATGTATAAATCCAAAATCATCATATGAACCTATTGAAATCATAAAAACTCGATTCCGAGTCCGTTTACCCAAAAGTCACTCTTCCAACTTAAAGCTTCCAAATCAGAGCTATTCTTCAAAATCAATCATGAACCACTCAGAAACTAAAACCGACCATACACGCGAGTCATAATACATTATATAAAGCTACTTAAAGTCTCAAAACACAGAACGAAAAGCTAAGCTCAAAACGATCGATCAGGTCGTTACATTCTCCCCAACTTAAATATACGTTTGTCCTCGAACGTGCCAAGAGTTATTTCAAAGCCACCAAATCACTTTATAAACCCACCATACGCATACTCATGGGTGATCCCACGTCACCTCAATTAATAAAATTCCATCGACATAATCTCGACTGAAGATTCTTCCTTTAACCTTAACCGATAAGCCTTAGAACCAAATTTCAACATCCATGACTCCTTGTAAGTCCGATTCTCGCATACACGTTGTATCGATCTCAATGAGCTACAAGAAATTATACATATATTAACAATATATAATCACACAATGTAGCCCATCGCTCATATGACCATAGCAATATCTCTGACCACAATAGCTGCCTATTACCAAGCCCGATATCGCTAACAAGCTTCATATCAAATATAACCTTGTTCCAAACCTTTGACTCTGCCAATGATGAAAGAAACATGTAGAAACTCGTAATCACTCACCCGATCAACAAGTCGTGCAGTTCTCTCATCCGATAAGGACTATAGCCAAATTCTGAGCAGAAATATGATATTATTCTTCCAAACACTCCTTACCCCAATACGATAGTGCAAATCCCTAGTCCAAAAACTCTGTCTCAACCAATACAAGTAGCCCAACAAACAAGTCACATCAAAAGCCACAAGGAACCTCAGATAACGCAGTTTGTACACAAAATAAGCAGTACTTAAATAAAATGAAAAAAAAAAACAAGGTACGAGGACTATCTAACAAGTACAACCGGTATAGCAAAAAAAGCATAATTGCATGAACTCATCCCATAAAGGAAAAACAAAACACACAAAATAAACACAAGGAAGGGTATCTCACATAATTCAATTGTGGCGCGCAACCCGATTCCAAATATATCAATCCACATAGGGATACCCATCGAGCCATAATGCTCGTGATCACTAAGCACACGTGCATCAACATCAAACACGATAGAGTGCACAAGTATTGATACGCGGCGCCTTCCTGAGATTCCTTGGAAGGGCGACGTACGGCTAGGCAACTGATGTCAGTCCAGTTGCTGTCCGCCAACTGAGGTCCCCTCCGTACGCTAGACGAGATTGTCAGTGCCGTACGGGAAAACCAATGTCAAGAGAAATTGAGAGAACAGAAATGAGAATTCAGAATGAAAGAAAGCTTGATTGCATTAATGAAAGCTATTACAGAAAAGCCACGCGGTGTCGAGGGGGAGAGACACCAGTACAGAGAATTGCTTGCTTGCTAGAAAGTTTTGATTGCTTGATCCCCCCTAATAGTACTTAAAAAAAATAAACCAAAGTTACAGGAGTAGACCTAATTAAGCTAGAGAAACATAATGGAAAGTGCATGAAATAAACTACTCTATATTTACAATGAAAATGACTTAGTTTTCTATAAGGCAGCAGCAGGCCCGTTGTCAGCAGCAGTGTCTTTGGCATCACGGTCTGCGCGCGCGACGCTGTTGGCTTCTGCCTGCGGCATTGCGCTCGCGAGGGATATCGGTGGGGCGACAGAGGCACCTGCGCGCTTGTCACTTGGCGCGGCCAAGACCACGGGGCCGTCCGTGGCGCTAGGCATTGGGAGGTTCGCTAGGACGCCACGGGGCGCGCCCAAGGGGTCATGGGGCATGGCTGGAAAGCCGCCCATGACAGTATAACTGTGGGGAGGTGAGTAGTCATAATACAATACGGGAAAAGGGCGAGCACAGCTGGGGTGCAATAAGCAAACCAACATTATAAGAGTCCATCTCGCTTATATATCACCACAAGGCCTAAACGGGATTACAACATGGGTGCAATAATCAAGTAGCCTCAACCCGTCATAGTATAAAAGAGAAGCATATAATATAGACAAGGGCACTAATAACATCCTTTCTGCTAATTGATATACCTTTGGTAACAGTTGCATAAAAGTAAGCAAACCCGATCTGATATAAAATACCTAGTCTCATTAGGCCTACAAATAGCCCCCAAACCAATTTCGATCATCGCCAAATAGGTAAACAACCTTCCAAAAGTCCATAGCAACCTATCCATAACACATACCACCAGCTATCCAATTCTTATAATATCTTCACAGTCTGCAATCAAGGAATAGTCTACCTACGTGAACATTAAGTTTCTAAACCTCAAGAATACTAGAATCTCCATATCCGATCCCAACTCCACTACTCAAATGACTGATACATCACTCATAAACAATCATCTTACGGAAAATACTCACATAGTTCTTCTGTACCAT